CCTCCCACAGCAACTCAACGCCGTCATCGCTGCCTCCATGTCCCTCAAGGCCTCCAGCAAACTGCGCCACATCCTGGAGGTGAGGAGCTGCTGCCGTGGGGCTGGGACGGGCTCAAGGTGCTGCCAGGCTGCCGTGGCACTGTGCCCCTGAGCTGTGTCCCTGTGTCCCTGCAGATCGTCCTGGCCTTTGGGAACTACATGAACAGCAGCAAGCGAGGAGCAGCCTACGGCTTCCGACTGCCGAGCCTCGACGCCGTAGGGTGCTTGGGGCACTCTGCCAGGGACAGAGGGACACAGGGACCAGGTGTAGAGATGGAGGGACACAGGAACCTGCCGTGGGACTCGGAGGGATGAAGAGAGACCATCTGTAGGGCTGGAGAGGCAAGAGGAGGGCTTAAAGGAACGGAAATCCACAGGAACTGTCCGTGGGATTGGAAGGTGGGAGAACAGGTCTGGAGATGTGAAGGGATTCAAGGAGCAGCTGTGGGGAGGGAGGTAGATGGGAACAGCCCTGGGGATGGAGGATGAAGATCCAACCACAGGGATGCTCTGGGCAGAGTTGGGGTGGTGGATGCAGGTCAGGGCTGACGCTCTCCCTTAGCTCCTGGAGATGAAGTCGACCGACCGCAAGCAAACACTGCTGCACTACCTGGTGAGGGTGATCACGGAGAAGTACCCGGAGCTCGTTGGCTTCCACACCGAGCTGCACTTCCTCGACAAGGCAGGCACAGGTAGTGCCCGTGGGCCTGGGCTGGGGTCAGAGGGGCCCAGTGCAGGGCCCTGAGCCAGCACCTCCTGCAGTGTCCCTGGACGGAGTGCTGCAGGACGTGCGGAGCCTCCAGCAGGGCATGGAGCTGACCCGCAGGGAGTTCCTGCGGCAGGACGACAGCCCCGTGCTCAAGGACTTCCTCAAGGTCAACTCGGACGTGATGGAGAAGCTGCAGGCTGACAGCAAAACTGCCAAGGTGGGTGCAGGATTGGCCCTCCTGTTCCTATGTGGGTACACTCTGGGGTGGCCTCTGCTCACACCTGTGCCCCGTGGAGAGGCTCCTGGCTGGGAGGTGGCTGCAGTGGGACAGCCAGGAGGGACAGAGCAGGGTGGTGAGGTGGGAGAGGCTGGGAGGAGGTGGTGGGTGCTCAGCCCCAGCCCCTGGACCATAGTGTCTCTCCCGCAGGAGGCATACGAGTCAGCTGTGGAGTATTTTGGGGAGAACCCCAAGACCAGTCCCCCCACCACCTTCTTCCCCATGTTCATGCGCTTCATCAGAGCCTACAAGGTAGGAGGGTTGGGGAGTGTCCTGGTTCTGGGGGTTGGGAGGGATTTTTGGGGTGGGAGGTCTGTCTGGGAGGTCCTGAGGCTTGGGGACACCCTTGGGAGTGATTGGAGGTATTTGAACTGGGTTGGGGTGAACTGGGGGCTGAGAGGGAGGAAAGAGGGGACCACAGTCCTGGAGCAGGACCCCCTGGCTCAGCACACCCTTCCTGCCCCTCTCCCAAGAAAGCAGAGCAGGACATTGAGCTGTGGAAGAAGCAAGAGGCAGCGTCCAAAGAGGCAGAATCCAACTCCCCCAGCAGCGAGCAGCAGCCTGAGGTGAGATGCCCCCGTGTCTGTGTCCTGGTGTGGTCCCAGCTCCAGCCCTGAGTGGGCTGCGTGGTGAGGAAGGGCTAAACAGGTCGTGGGGAGGCAGAGCTGTGGGAGGTGAGGATGAGGGCACCCATCTCTCTGCAGTGCTGCTCACCCACGCTGTCTCCTCCTCAGCTGCCTGTGCAGAAGGCCAAGCGGCAGCAGATGGACATGATTGCTGAGCTGAAGAAGAAGCAGATGGTGAAGGAGCCACTCATCTACGAAGGCAAAGACGGGGCCATTGAGGATATAATTTCAGGTGAGAGAGGATTTCAGGTGAGCAGCAAGGCATCCCCCTCACCTCAGACCCTCAGTGCTGGGGTGGAGGGGCTGTCACAGGAGCTGGAGGGTCACCGAGCCCCATTGCGGGAACCAAACCCACCTGCAGCACCTTCTGTCCTGCTCTGTCTCATAGCTCTTCTTCCTCTTCCTCTTCTTCCTCCTCTCTCCTCCTGCTCCTCGCTGTGTCTGGTTGCTCTGCTCAGCTCTGAGAACTGTCCCTTTCACGGCCCGGACGGGCAAGCGCTCGTCCCGGCTCTTCTGCGACGTGAGCTACAATGAGGAGAGTCCTCTGTAGGTAACGTGGGGCCGCAGGCTCAGCGAGGGGCTCGGCTGGGGCAGGGCAGGGCTGCCAGGCTTTCCCTCCCCAGGGATTCCTCCAGCTGAGTGGTCAGACCCAACCCCAACCCCGGCGGCTGCAGCCCCGGGACAGTGCTGGGCAC